TGACACAGCAGTGCCACTCACAGGTCTACAGTGAATACCGTATTTTTCACAGAATTTAAAGAGGTAAAAGGGTGGCAATCTTCATATAGTAAGTTTACAAACTCCAGGATCAGAATAGGCCAGAAATAACTGAAAGAAAAGTAAAAATGCATATATGATTTTACATTTTTACCATAGATGCCCTTCAAGGTGCTATAGTGACTACATGTGTAAGTTATTCTTCTTTTACTATGAACAGCTAATTTTAACTTGCAACATGTTAGTTGTATTTATGTACCTAAAAAGCCAGCTATTTGTCTCTCAGGTATTTCTTGTCAATATTTTGGATGCTGTACCCTCCTTTACTAGCCAGTAGTCCTTAAATGAAAAGTACAGCCAAAGCTGTTTTGGCTGCACTTCGCCTGTGGATCACAAGATTGCAGTTAGTTCCACACTCCTGTGATCCTCTTCAAGCCCGCTGTCAGCTGACTTCACTCAGCTGGTCCAGGCTGGGGAAAGATCCCGACTGAGACGCTGAGAGCCAGATCCAGCCACTCCCTCCCCCTCAACAGCCCATTTCTCCAGTGAGCACTGGGGGGGGCAGAGCAGACAACAGTGACTGACAGAGCGGCTGTGAGAACTCGGCGATTAGCAGTCTTGTGATCACTGAGTTCTCAGCCTTAGAGCCAGCAGGGGACAGATGCAGCATCGGACCAATGCTGCATCCACCTAGGTAAGTATAAATGGAAGTAAAAAAGTCCACAATTCTCTTTTAAGGCTAGATTCTCATTTATGTGGATGCAGGAGTGCGTGTAAATTGCACACATTCCCACATGCAGTCGCACAGAAAATGCATGGGTGTGCCATTATCTTTTAATGGCACCCCCATCCACTGAAAAATGGAGTGCGGTTTCCCTTGTGGAAAAAACATACGATTACAATGTGGCCGCATTTTAAAAAACGTGCAGGGACCTTTTCCCTGCATGAAACACATGCACAGCAGCCCATTGGAATGAATCGGCAGCTGTGCCCACAGAAACATGGCACGGAGAGTCGCATATATGTGAACCTAAAAAATTTCTATAGTAAGCAGACAACACTGCATCTGCTGCACTGAATTCCCAAACTGTTATAAGCCCTGCCTACATTCTCTCCAGCTGGACTACAGAACTACATGATGGCACCCCCACCCCCACCCATTGATGTAATTTCTTCAACTCCTTATTACATTCTCAGTTTTTCTGTACAGGGGAGAGAGTGTCGAGAATGAGGTATTTTTTAGTCCAGCAGGGGCGCGCTCAGGCAGGACTGACCCCACGTCTTGGGACTACAGTGCAGCAGATGTAGCATTGTCATCTCAGTGGTTTTTTTGTTTTTGGCAGGATCAATGGGTACTTTTGTTTAACTGCTGCATTTTTTGAAGAGACGATACATGGGGTAATGTGCATGAATTGCAGAGATATACTTTTTTGCCCAGTCATGCACTTTAATAAGGTTGGGAATATACAGCATGTTAAAGAGAAGATCATTCTTATTTTTATTTATTTTTCTTTAGTAGCATCAATATATAGTTATCTTGTAGGAACTTCCCTGTTTTTTACTAGCTTAAGTGAAAATCAAACTTGTAGTAAAGTTTGTGAGCCTCTTATCTGTGGTGACTAACACAGTACCAAATGTCAAGTAGTTTAATGAATGCAGAACAGTGATGTCTGTTTAGTTACATAATTATCAGGTCATCCACATATAAATATATGCAGTTACACAGTATGGCGATATTAATAGGGTAACTTCACTTTTGTGGGAAAAAAATTGCAAATAAAAAATATAGCATATACAATTGCTGTATACGTTGTGTTGTAATTTGATGTTCTTATAAACTACATTTTCAAACTGCAGCCCTTTTCTGTAAATTTCTATGCAGTGTGACAACCTGGAGGTGTTCTGTACACTGACTCCTGAAGAGGAGTCCTTTTCCATCACAAATCATTGCACTTGGCTCTTTATTTGATTCTCCCCAGCCCTATCCCTCTCCTGACCTAAAATCACTTACTGGAGTTCTTACAGCTCCCTTCCTTAGTAAGGACCTGACTCTTCTGTGTCCTTCAGCAATTCTTGACAGTGTTTACAACACTGACCCTTATGTCCACCTTAGTATCTAGTCCTGCCCTCCCCATTGTGGAACACTAAGGAGATCTTCCCTGAAAAAACTGTTTCTTAAACATTTACATTTCTAGCAAATCTGAGCATCCTATCAACGACAATCCTTGTCTGGATACAAATTGAAAATTAAGTGCTCTTAGTAATCTTAGATCATCTTCGAGTGGGTCTGCCTATCTCAATTATTAGCTATATTATTCCACTTCCTGGGAACCTTTGACCCCTGCGTAATATGTAGCATATTTTTCCTGTTCACCTCTTCCAGTTTTGTGAAATTATGGGGAATAACCTTTATACGTAATCACCCCCCCCCCCCCTTTTGTGCTGTCTATCTACCCTTTTCGGTCTCTCCCACTGAGCTAGGGAGTATGGAATTTAGGTAAGGCACCAGCTGGACTTTGGACCAAGAAGTTGCAAACACATTTTTGAACTCTGAACAGGATTGGATGGTCATCCCACCTATTTTGGGAATATTTCCCTAAAGGATGTCTTCTCTTGCTGCTCCATGGGTTAACTTCCCCAGGACATGACCGTTCCATAGATGTTGCAATATCCCTCTGTGGGTTGGTCTTTTGATCTGACCTTCAATGGGCTTCTGAAAACTGCAATATCCCCACCTCCAGAAAGGTCTGAGATTTTCCCCTGCAATAGACAAGGTGACCTACTCTCTACACAATGTAGAATGTGTCATTTATGGCAACAGTGTTATTAATACAGTCAAGATATTGTTTTGTAGATCCCCTCTTCTGATGATCCCCACTTCAAATGGTGAAGTGCCTGCATGTGTGCCTTCATTCTTCCTTACAAGGAAGTATCCTTTGTTGGAAGGTCCTGTGCTCCTCTGGAGAGGCAGCAGATAGGACTCATTGTTACCCGTCTGTAGAATTCCCTAAGTGGGATAGTGTAAATCCAGAGTCCTTTGTGAGACCTGTTCATTAGAGGCTGATTGGATAAGAGGCTTTTTACAGGGATAGGTTGGATGTTTCCATGCTCATATATTTATTACCTGGTTAGACAGGATTGCAGTGCAGCTACTATACTCTTGAAACATCTGTGGTTGTTGGTTGAAATGAATTGTTCTTATCTACCTTAGTTTGCATGCCTATCTATGCTTTTATTCAGGTGTTATTGATCATCTCACCTTCTCTCTTCTTATAAAGGATTCTGGGTTAGTACTCTTCAGTTTGTACCATTGTGAGGGTTTATTTTCTCTTCTCTCTATTTAGATTCTATGCTGTAATGGCTTTAATCTATGGTTATCTCTTGATTAGTTGTCCATCAGTTAATATCATTTCCTACCATGGACCTCACTCTCCCTGTAGTCAACAGTTAGGAGTATTCGACTTCTTCAGCAGCTGATCATCTTTTCCCTGGATGTAACCTGTCTGTCTGATTCCTTTCACCAAATTCAAGTGTTAAATATGTTCGGCTTGAAGCTCTGGGCACCAAAAAAAAAAAATACCCTTGCAGTGAAGCATCCCCCCACTGCAAGGGTTAAATGCTTGTAAGGTCTAGGGGGTTTAAGAATAAGATGTAATGCTCACCTTACTCCTCATTCCAACAGCCTTCCATCAAGCTCTTTGACCAGATCCCCGCAGCCTCCTCTCTGAAGTGCTCTGACCACGTCATTGCATACAATGGAGAACCAGTAGTCCTGCATTTTATGTGAGAATGGCAAAGACCTGTGCACAGCCTCGAGCATCGTAGGCGAGAATTAATAAGCATTTACCTAGTGGTGCACCGAAATTAAAATTCTTGACCAAAACCGAAAATTCAGGATGTATTTGGCCAAAAACCAAAATGGACAGGTTTTAAAAATATACACAATATTGCCAAAAGTATTGGGATGCCTGCCTTTACACGCACATGAACTTTAATGGCATCCCAGTCTTATGCCGGCCATAGACAGGTCGAAAATTGCCGGAAAAAAAAACGGCTGATTTTCGCACTGTTAGTGGGTTAATTAGTCGGCCGGTTTTTGCAGTTTTTTCTATCGGTCATGTTGGAAAATTCATGGCCGATTTTGACGATCTTCCGATTTTCCCTGCAATGATGGGCAAGTCGGCCGATCGTATTACCAATAAAAAATCCGTGCATGAGCCCATGACCTGCAAGGGACAGAAGTTATGGGGTGAACTTTATGATTTAGTCGGCCGATTTTTTTTTTTTTTTTTTTTCTTTTTGTACTGTTGGTGGTAATGTCGGCCGACAGAACAACCGTTTGTTTTTTTTTTTAGTTTGTTTTTTTAGAAAAATCTGCCGATTTTCGACCCGTCTATAGCCTGCATTAGACTATAAGGTTAAATATTGAATTGGCCCACCCTTTGCAGCTATAACAGCTTCAACTCTTCTGGGAAGGCTGTCAAGAAGGTTTAGGAGTGTGTCTATAGGAAGGTTTGAGAAGCTCATTTGTGAGGTCAGGCACTGATGCTGAACAAGAAGGCCTGACTTGCAGTCTCCGCTCTAATTCATTGCAAAGGTGTTCTGTTGGGTTGAGGTCAGGACTCTGTGCAGGCCAGTCAAGTTCCTCCACCCCAAACTCATCCATGTCTTTATAGACCTTGCTTTGTGCACTGGTGTGCAGTCATGTTGGAACAGGAAGGGGCCATCCCCAAACTGTTTCCACAAAGTTGGGAGCATGAAATTGTCCAAAATGTCTTGGTATGCTGACGCCTTAAGAGTTCCCTTCACTGGAACTAAGGGTTCCCTGAAAAACAACCCCACACCATAACCCCCCTCCACCAACTTACACTTGGCACAATGCAGTCAATACCGTTCTCCTGACAACCGCCAAATCCAGACGCGTCCATCAGATTGTCAGAGAAGCGTGATTAGTCACTCCAGAGAACATATCTCCACTGCTCTAGAGTCCAGTGGCGGCTTGCTTTACACCACTGCATCTGACACTTTGCATTGCACTTGGTGATGTAAGGCTTGGATGCAGCTGCTCGGCCATGGAAACCCATTCCATGAAGTTCAATATGCACTGTTGTGCTAATCTGAAGGCCACACAAAGTTTGGAGGTCTTTAGCTTTTGACTCTGCAGACAGTTGGCGACTTCTGTGCACTCTGCACTTCAGCATGCGCTGACCCCGCTTTGTCATTTTACGTGCCCTACCACTTGGTGGCTGAGTTTCTGTTGTTCCCAGCTGCTACTTTGTTATAATACCACTAACAGTTGACCGTGTAATATTTAGTAGCAAGGAAATTTCACAGATGGGCTTATTGCACAGGTGACAACCTATCACCGTACCACGCTTGAATTCACAGAGCTCCTGAGAGTGACCCATTCCTTCACACACATTTGTAGAAGCAGTCTGCTTGATTTTATACACCTGTGGCCATGGAAGTGATTGGAACACCTGAATCCAATGATTTAGAGGGGTGTCCCAATACTTTTGGCAATATAGTGTATATATATTTTTATATATAATTGTATTGTATTTGACTTTATAATTAATATCATAAATTTAAATGAATATGAATTTATTTTCAGCACCTTTTTGGCCAATAGGCTGCTCTCACACTAGTAGTTTTTGCGGCAATTTTGCGTTAAAAAAGGTGAAATGTATGTTTTCATACTGGTCCATTTCGCTTCCCTTGCATTGTTAAAAATCCTGCTTTCCGCATTTTTGGTGCATATTTGGTTAGTAAAAAAAACTCTCCCAAACCCCCCCCCCCCCCCCCCATTTAGGATGGCGTTTTTTTTGGCAGAAATGCATACTGTCCATTTATTTATTTCAAGTACTTATATAGCGCCGTCAATTTACACAGCGCTTTATATATATATTGTACATTCACATCAGTCCCTAACCCTCAAGGGGTGTACAATCTAAGGTCCCTAACTCACATTCGTATAAAACGGCCAATTTAGACAGGATCCAATTACCCTACCAGCATGTCTTTGGAGTGTGGGAGGAAACCGGAGTACCCGGAGGAAACCCACGCAGGCACAGGGAGAACATGCAAACTCCAGACAGGAGGTGCCGTGGCTTGGGTTTCAAACCAACGACCCTAGTCCTGCCAGGCGGAAGTGCTAACCATTTAGCCACTGTGCTGCCCATGGTTTCTATGGGACACATTCACTGATATGCTTTTTTGAGCTGCTGCATTTTTGGAAAGGGTCAGGGACTTTTTTAAATGCAAAATGTTTTGGTTCAGTAGACTTCAATGGAAACACTGCAAAAAACGCATGTAGTGCATTTTTGCCAAATTTTTTTTATACGTTTTTTCAATCTGCCCTGGAACAAGTTGGGCAAAAAAAAATTCAAAAATGCAAAACACATCAAAAACGTGTCAAATGCACATGGAGAAAACACAGAAAGCACTGCAAAACATTCCAAGAGTAAACTGCATTGGTGTGAACCAGGTCTAAAATGCATTAAAACACATCAAAAATGCACGTGTTGTATTGATGCATTTTTAAATCTGCCCCCCCCCCCCCCCAAAAAAAACTCTAAAAAAAAGCAAAACGCATCAAAAATGTGTGCAAAAACGCAAAAAGCACTGCAAAACAGACAAAAAAGCAATCTGCATTAGCCAGCCCTGAAATTAATTGAAAACCCATCAAAAACGTGCATGTGTTGCGTTTTGATGTTTTTTTTTTTTAGTCACACGATCTATGAAAAATGCACCCTGAACATGGCAAAATCATGCGTTTTTGGTGGCTATTATCGGCACCTTTTTTCCTATCGGCTAAATGCCGATAACACTGTTTTCGGCTGATACATTTTGGCCGCCGATATTTCAGTGCATCCCTACATTTACCGCTTGCAGTGCTGGGGGTCCTACTGCAATAGTATTTTTTTTGTAATGTCTAGACTTTATCTTTAACCCCTTCCCTCCGGTGCCTCCCGACCCTTTAAGAGTTTTTAGAAGGCGGGACGGGTGGGGTTTAGGGATCATGTGACTGCCGTGAAACTGCATTTTTGATGTCACCCCACAAGTTTTCTATTGGATTAGATCCGGGGATTGGGCTGGCCACTCCATAACATCAATCTTGTTGGTCTGGAACCAAGATGTTGCATGTTTACTGGTGTGTTTGGGGTCGTTGTCTTGTTGGAACACCCATTTCAAGGGCATTTCCTCTTCAGCATAAGGCAGCATGACCTCTTCAAGTATTCTGATGTATTCAAACTGATCCATGATCCCTGGTATGCGATAAATAGGCCCAACACTGTAGTATTCACTTCAGCCCCTACCCTCAGGGAGCTTACAACCTAAGGTTTCTAGCTCATATTCATACATACACATACTAAAGCCAATTTATACAGGAGCCAAATGTTATGTAAACTGCGTTTAAAAAGAGTGATATTGCTAATATTTTATGTTGCTGACTTTTCTTTTTAGGGGAGGAACACTACAACTGTATATCGGCATTGCACAAATCTATGCGAGGATCTGATCAGAATGCCTCTTTTATATTGGCTTGGTCGAATGCTTGAAGGTGGAGAAGACCCCCTTTATGTGGCTAGACGTCTAGTAAGATTTGCAAGTGAAGATATAGGTATGTAATTCTTGTTCAGCCACCTCATCGATGTCAGTGGCTATTGAGTCATGTCACAATATACTGCTAAATTTTGAGACCTTTTAGATTCACCTTAATGAGCAGGTGGTACCATGAAACATTTAATCACACCCAACGTTATTAGAAATTGCCATTATTAAAAATTCACAAGATTGATGGTAACAGAATTTTAAAGAGAATTATTATTTTTTTTTTTATATTCTGTTGTATTGCGTAATGGATAGCTTTAAATCGGTATAAAACCCAAAAACAAACATGTATTTGTTTTGCAACTAACCAATTCTTGGATGTAGTGGCTGCATTAGTTTTTTTTTTTTTTAGGGTTTCTTCTGTTTTCATTTGGTGATCCAGCCAATAAGTCTGTTTCCTTTTGTAGATTGTATCAGTTACAGGGATGAGACAAACTATTTACCACTGACAGGGGTGTTTACAGTGATCAGCTTTTAATTATCCCTTTATCCCAAAAGAAAACAGCTATGTGCTGTAACTGCTTATAAAATTTGGCTTCAGTTTTAGTGTATTAAAAATCTGCTAGTGCATCTTACACTCCCCTCCCCCCAGGCTGACAATGCTGCTGTCCAAAGGTGCCCCCTATGCTTCTTCTTCCCAAGTGGGGGCATTCTTAATACAGGAGGTGGGTTACTGGCCAGATTACCAGGTGCAAACATAGGGGAAAAAGCCTAAAAAATAACTAAGGTGATTTCAAACAAGAATCAGTAGATTTTTTTCTGGCACTTGCAAATGCTGCTAGAAAACACTGTTCGATCTGCAGCTGCTGTAAGTTTTGTACTCAAATCTATGGCGGGCGCCATTGCTGTTCGCATGTAAGGCCTCATGCACACTGGGCGTTTGCTCAACTACTCTGAACTCCGTTTCCCCTGGCAGGAGAAAAGGTGCTCAAAAACATGTCCAAAGCCACGTTTTGCACACGCATTTAGGTGCATTCAGGCATGTCAAGCATTTGAGTGTTAATGGGTTCCATTAGCCAGAATATTAATTTATTCTAGCAATTGGCATGAATGAACGGTAAATGCAAATAGCTTTATTTTTGTGTAATCACACATCCATATGTAAACCATGTTCACAGCACACGTGAGGTATTGCCGTGAACATTAGAGCAGCAGCAATAATTCTAGCTCTAGACCTCCTCTGTAACTCTATACAGATAACCTGTAAAAATGTCTAAAGCGTCACCTATGGAGATTTTTAAGTACCATTCCACAAGCGTGCACAATTTTAAAGCATGACATGTTAGGTATCCATTTACTCGCCGTAACATCCCCTTTCATATTTTAGAAACCAAATTTAAGTATATCTTTGTTTTTTTTTTTTTTTTTTTTTTTTAATTCACTAAAGTGTATTTTTTCCAAAAAAGTACGTAAATACCATGTAAAATAAAATTGCAACAATCACCAAGTCATTCTCTAGGGTCTTTGCTAAAAGAAAAAGTAATGTTTGGGGGTTCTAAATAATTTTCTAGCAAAAAATACTGATTTAAACTTGTAAACAAAATGTCCTGGAAAATGCTTGGTCTTCAAGTGGTCAAGCCTTGTGTGCATGAGCCCTTACTGCTTATCTGAGCTCTTACATGTAAATTCCAACCCTGAGCGCAACCAGTGTGCATCCAGGTCAGCATTTCTGCAGCGTTTTGGCTAGACACAGACTGGCTGCAGCTAATTGGCTTTTTTGTAAGCGGTCATAGCACAGAGTGTTGCTGCTTCCAGAGGCAGCTGTAGTTGTTCAGCCATCTGAATGTAGCCTATGTCTGTGTCACAGCTTGAAGGATATTGTGCAATTAAACTTGTGCAATTTAAACTTTTTTTTTCTCCTTAAGAGAGTATAAAAGAGTGTCCCCTGCCAGCAGGAGCAGAGCGGTACCCTTGCTTTCTTTGAAGAAGCTGTGAGCTCTCTCTGCAGAGTCCAACAAACCCTCTATTGAGACCTATAGCCCTTCAATCTGAATTAGCAACGGGTTATCTGACCTCTACAGAGAGATCACTGCTTCTAAACAGAAAACCCCACTCTGCAGAATAGTAGCAAGTTTTGCTGCTTAGGCTGTAGCTGCATTTTAAAACAAAACAAAACCTGTAAGACTTTGAACACCTTTTTAGATATAACTGTAATATTTTTAACTGATTTAAAGTGAACATTTAATTGGCCTTCAAGTTTCTTTTACATTTGTTTACATTATTTGGGTAATGATTTACAGAGAGAATTAAAATTTAAGTTTTTGATTTTTGAAGAGAAGAATTTGAAGCTTTTTGTATATTATGGTTTTTTTTTGGGTATTTGGATTTATAATAATGTTTTATTTTCTTGTTAACCAGGACTAGCTGATCCCTTGGCTTTAACTCAAGCAGTGTCAGCTTATCAAGCCTGCCATTTTATTGGAATGCCGGAATGTGATGCAAGTTACTTTTTGCTATACTTATCACAAGGCTTTGTCATTATCTAGGTGCACAAGTGTAACTTTAATTCCATGTGACATTTTGCAGTTTGAATCATGATAGTCTGCCTTTTAACTCCTTTATTGTTTAAGGTTTAGTTTAAGAAACGTGGACTGTTGTGCAGTATGAAATCATCTGATAGATAATGCTACATGGCAGTCTTACCATAATACATAAGTAAACATAAGAAATGTAAAAGTGAAACACCGTACTGCTTTATTGATGTAAATGATGAGCAGGCATCAAGGGTTGAGGTAAAAAGAATCGGGAAGCTTAGATACCAGTTTCTGGCTACAGTTGAAATAGTTTTCATATGTGTTCACTAAAGTTTACAACCTAACATTGACGT